GGACCCATTTAGTCACATTAGAGCTTCTGAGTGATCTTCTTAACATTCAACTAAAACTGGATTACTTTGACCACTTTTAACTCAATGGGAGATATAAAGGTAGTTGTACCTGCAACTGTGACTTGGAAGGTGAGCTTCTGGCCATCAGCTTCGCAGGTATATTCACCTGCATCTTTCTTCTCCACCTCTTGAACAACCAGACAACGGGATCCACCTTGTTCTTCTATTTTGAACTTCTTGGTGTCAGTGATCAGCTTCCCATCTTTGAACCACTTGACATCTGTCTTGGTTTGGGCCACCTCACAACTGAGAGAGACGTTCTCTGAAGCCACAGTCCTTATGTCCTTCTGGATCTTCTTCTGGTTGACAAAGACTTCCTTAGTCTTTTCATCTAGGAGGAGAAGCAGAAAACAGGACACATTTAGTCACATTAGAGCTTCTGAGTGATCTTCTTAACATTCAACTAAAACTGGATTACTTTGACCACTTTTAACTCAATGGGAGATATAAAGGTAGTTGTACCTGCAACTGTGACTTGGAAGGTGAGCTTCTGGCCATCAGCTTCACAGGTATATTCACCTGCATCTTTCTTCTCCACCTCTTGAACAACCAGACAACGGGATCCACCTTGTTCTTCTATTTTGAACTTTTTGGGGTCGGTGATCAGCTTCCCATCTTTGAACCACTTGACATCTGTCTTGGTCTGGGCCACCTCACAAACGAGAGAGATGTTCTCTGAAGCCACAGTCCTTATCTCCTTCTGGACCCTCTGCTGGTTGACAAATATCTCCTCAACCTCTCTATCTAATAGTGGAAGGAATGGACAAAATATCTTAATTCACTTTCTCTTTAGGACATTTGATCATTTTTATTCAAAACTAAAATTCTGATGTTCAAGGAGATCCAACCGATAGATTGTATACCAACTAAGATAGGTCATCCTACATCTAGATGTTTGCCACTTTGGCAGATACCACCCTGGCTTCTGATTGTTGATGAAAAGAACATCTCAAATCATGAAATTTAGGAAAATCCAAACAATTTTTACTTCCTAGGGTCTGTACTTGTAAAATACAATCATCTGTATTTTTGTCATCTTGCTGAAATTCTCCTTAACCTCTGAATAACTGTACAGGTAGACTTACAACCATAATTGAGCCCAACATTTCTGCTGCTAAGTGAGACAGTATAAGTGAATTTTGCCTCATTTTACGGCCTTTTTCCCCACAGTTGTTAAGTGAATCACTACAGTTGTTAAGTGAATCTGACTCCCCCCCATTGACTTTGCTTGTCAGGAGGTCACAAAAGGGGATCATGTGAAACTGGGGAAATTGCAACTGTGATAAATATATGTCAGCTACCAAGCACCTGAATTTTGATCATGTGACCATGGAGATGCTGTGACAGTCATAAGTGTCAAAAATGGTCATAAGTCCCTTTTTTTAAAGTAATGTTGCAACTTCAAATGGTCACTGAACTGACTATTGTAAATCCAGGACTACCTGTAATAATAGTAACATAGGAAAATCAAGATTTTTAGATTTTTAGATTTTATTTAGCATTTATAGGCCGCCCTTTTCCCNCCCCCTTCCCTGATTTGAATTGTGAGCCGCCCTGAGTCCCCTTCGGGGGAAAAGGACAGCATATAAATATAATAAAATAAATCAAATCAAATCAAATGATGTCTAATGCTCATCAATTTCAGAGGCAGTGTTGAAATACAGCCATATTTCCAACTACATAGAACATGGATAATAGAATTATAGTTGTTCTATCTAAAACTGTTGGCCAAAGTAAACTTTATCATTGACACAACTTGAAGGTGTTCTTTTACACTTCTGAGAGCTGCTCTGGTCAATCAACCAAAAATGGATTGGTCTGACCACTTTTATTGCTCTATATGAGAGATGTAGAGAATATAAAGCTGGTTGTACCTGCAACTGAAACTTTGAAGGTGAGTTTCTGACCATCTGCTTCACAGGTGTATTCACCACCATCTTTCTTCTCCACCTGTTGGACAACCAGACGCCGGGATCTGCCTTCAGCTTCCACCTTGAATTTCTTGCTAGAGGTGATCAGTTTCCCATCCTTGAACCACTTGACATCTGTCTTGGCCTGGGCCACCTCGCAGCAGAGAGAGACATTCTCTGAAGCTACAACCTTGATATCCTTCTGGATCTTCTCCTTGTTGGTAAACATCTCCTCAGCTTTTGCATCTGAGTTTGATTGAAGAAGACAATAAAAAAAATCAACTTTTTAACCTTTGTTTTAAATTGTAATCATCTTTTCTGGAATCATAGGACAGTAGATCACATCCTCCATAAGGGAAATTACCCTATCATTCCTCTTCAGGTTTTTTATAAAGTACATACAGCTAGGCCTCAACTTACAATCATAATTGGAACCAGAATTTCTATTTTTAAGAAAGGTTTGTTCAGTGACTTGTGCCTGATCTTTTTTGCCATGGTTGTTAAGCAAATCCCTGCTATTAAGTAAACCATGTATTCCTTAAGTGAATCAATAGGTTTGCTTGTCAAAAGTCAATTGGAAAGAATACAAATGATGATCACAGGATCTCACGATACTGCAACTCTTCTAAATTCACGCCGGATGCCAAGTACCCTAATTTGAATCACGTGACCATAGGGAGCTGGGATGAGCTGGAATGCCACCTACTGGTGAAAAAAGATACTATACTACTACAAGGTTGGGAAAGTCCTTGAGAGGAAGCCAGGACTGATAAGAAGAAGTGAAACAAAGTGAAAAGCAAACAACAACTGGAAGGCTGACTTTTTCTTTTTTGTTCTGTATCTATTTGCTTTCTGGCTGCTTGGAAGTAACTGGTGAGGCTTTTGGAGATCTTCAAAGTAGGGTGGATTATAAACAATAAGAACTTCAACCGCCCTTGAAACTGAACATTTGACTCTGTGGATTAGTGAGACACGGGGAAATTCAGTGGGCCATTCTGCATTATGAATACTGTTTTATAGAACATCATACAAGTTCTTTCTTACAAATTCAGTTAATTTAGAGGGAGCAAATTGTCAGATTTTAAGGACTATAAATATTGTGCATTCTAAGGAACAGTTCCGAAGTGAGCAAATTCTTCTGATATTGGCTTTTTGTTGTGCTGGGCAATTGAGACATTGGGATTTTGGTGGATTATTGGGTACCTTTTAGCCCATTAAATTAAAGTAAAATGTTACAACAGGGAAAACAAATATGCCTCAAAAGAAAACTATTGATTCTTCTATGTATTCAGGAACCTATGACAAGGAACCATAGGGAGACGAAGAAAGTGATGCATGATACAGATGTGAGACTAGGAAACCCTCAGCAAATGACAATGAAAAATGAACAAAAAATCCAGAAAATAGAGGAGAAATTAGAAGGAACAGAGGAAAAAATAGAGATAAATCAACAAATGACATAAGCCAGTAAAGGTATTGAAGTGATAGTAAAAAGTCTTAAAATTGAACAGGTAGCTTACTCTTTAAGAGTTCAAAATATAAGAGGGCAAAGAGAAAGATCTCCCAGAAGGGATGAAAGAATTATTGATGGGTGCTCTGGAGATTTGACAGCGAGAGGTAGATGTGGAGGCACATGAAATACTTAGACTAAATATGAGTGATGTAAGGGGATACAAGATCCCAAGGGAGGAACATGGGAGATTTGTCAAAAAGTCAATAAGAGTTGAAATACTAAAAAGAGCAAGAGATGATGGATAGATACAGAATACTTCTTAATATGGGATTTGTTTTATTAAGGGTTAGAAAATAGAGAGAGAAATTAGAAATTGGAAAAATATTATGTATACTGCTACATTATATAATATAGTATAATTACTATGTATACGTAAATGTTAGAAGTTGAAAGATTATTACCATTATTTAGTATACCTAAATCAGTGGTAGTCAACCTGGTCCCTATCGCCCACTAGTGGGTGTTCCAGCTTTTATGGTGGGCGGTAGGGGTTTGCTGTAACTCTGCTTTATAAATTTTATAAAGTAAAGTTACTTNTTGATTTCTATTCATGGAGTCTCATGGTCTTCTTTCCTAATTACCTAATGGAGAGGTTCTGACATTCAGAGTTTCAAGAAGATCAATTTATATAGTAGTCATTTTTAAATGACAGTGGCTGAAATCAATAAAAAAAACTTTTGATACAGTTTCTCCAATCCAAAAAACCCATTTTAATGTGGTTACACCCTGATTATGTTTGTATCCTGAAACAGGATAAGAAATAAAATGAAAGGCAACATCTTCTCCTACCTGTTACAGTGACTTTGAAAGTGAGCTTCTGGCCTTCAGCTTCGCAGGTGTATTCACCGCCATCTTTCTTCTCCACCTGTTGAACAATCAGACTCCGGGATTTGCCTTCTGCTTCCATCTTGAATTTCTTGTTGGAGGTAATCAGTTTCCCATCCTTGAACCATTTGACTTCTGTCTTGGCATGGGCCACCTCACAGCTGAGAGAGACATCCTCTGAAATCACAGCCTTGAAGTCCTTCTGGATCTTCTCCTTGTTGCTAAACATCTCCTGAACTTCTTTATCTGATGAGGGAAGGAGAGAGGCAGAAATTTTCATTAACTGCTTCTTTCTGATGGCAGTTGATAGTTTCCATTAACTACTAAACATATGCTCTTCAGAAACACTCAAGGGTGTATCCCACATAATCAATATCTCAACCTTCTCTTAATTTGTACCAAGGTCCCCACAGTCCTCCTCATACTCTCCCTCCTTCTTCTCCCCTTATTCTTCTCTGCAAACACCCATCCCTTCTAGAACTGGTAATGTTACCTAGTTGGATAACCAAGCTCAGAGGGCACCAAGAACCCCACAGTCCTCCTCCTCCCAAACCTTCCTCTGATGATGATGTAACTTCAATATCTGGACCGTGGTCCCATTCCATCTCAGGTGAAACTTATCTAACCCCTAAGAACGGGTTATAAACATTCTTTATAATTAATGTTTGCTCTAATTAAGTGTGGCTTTCTTGAACCTCAATGTATTTTCTCTTGAGTAACCAACCATCCATGATTTGGAGCTAGCTGGACCATTTTTCTGGAGAAATAAACTTCATTTTCTCATTGCAGGACATAGCAAACAAGCGGATCCGAATCTGAATCATTTCAAGATATGTTGGCCAGATCCAGGAAGGAACAATTGGTGGACATGGAGTTGCCAAATAATGGTTGATTTAATTTTTAATTTTTTAATTGTATGTGGTCCACCACTCATGTAAGCCCAGTACAGAAATCAATAAACCTCCACCCTTCTGGTGACAACAATCAAACCAACCACATCATCCTGAGATTCCCATAGGCCCATTGGCCAAACCATGTCTTAAATGCCTTTCAGAAGATGCTCAAGGTGGTGGCCAATCTTATCTCTGCAAGTTGTCTCCTGTCTCCTTGCTCTGGTGGGTCAGGTAAATAAAAGTGAATAAAGATGGCCCTTCAAATAACAGGGAGGGAGCCATCATGGAGAAGGCCTGGGTCCCACTAGATGGACCTTCTTAAGAGAGAGGACCTATAATTTCCCCTGCCTCCCTGCTCTGGTGGTTGATGTCTGGTAGATGTCACTGGGAAAATATGGTCATTCAGATAACCTGGCTTTAAGCCATGTAGGTTTTGAAGGAGACAGCCAGCACCTTCAATTGGACCCAGAAGCATAGATCAAAATATCAAAGTATCTATTAATTTCTGTCATCATAGAAAGATTTGCAATCCAATGATGAAGGAAAAGACTAAGGATTTTTTCCCCTACCTGTTACGGTTACTTGGAAGTTCAGCATCTGGCCATCTGCTTCACAGGTGTATTCACCTGCATCTTTCTTCTCCACCTGCTGGACAACCAGATGATGGGATCTGTCTTCTGCTTCTACCTTGAATTTTTTGTTGGAGGTGATCAATTTCCCATCCTTGAACCATTTGACTTCTGTCTTGGCCTGGGCCACTTCACAACTGAGAGAGATGTTGTCTGAAGCTACAGCCTTGATGTCCTTCTGTACCTTCTCCTTGTTGACAAAGACTTCTTTAATTTTTTCATCTAGGAGTAGAAGCAGAAGACAAGTCACATTTATTCACATTAGAGCTTCTGAGTGGTCTTCTTAACAATCAACCAAAAATAAAACCACTTTTAACTATATGAGAAATGTGGAGAATATAAAGGTACCGGCAACTGTGACTTGGAAGGTGAGCTTCTGGCCATCAGCTTCGCAGGTATATTCACCTGCATCTTTCTTCTCCACCTGCTGGACAACCAGATGATGGGATCTGT